AATCAGATTGGTTGTAAACGCACACAAAGAAAACAACTTGGGCCAATCAGATTAGTTGTAAACGCACACAATGAAAACAACTTGGGCCAATCAGATTGGTTGTAAACGCACACAATGAAAACAACTTGGGCCAATCAGATTAGTTGTAAACGCACACAATGAAAACAACTTGGGCTAATCAGAGTAGTTGTAAACGCACACAAGAAACTGTGAGGAGAAATACAATTCACAGCACTTCCATTGAAAGCTATTTGACAATATTTTAAGTCCGATTTTCGGCACCTGAGCCTCTCTTGTTCCATTTCTTAGATCACCCATAACACACCTCGTGAATTATATTTGTGGTGCAAATAACCTAACAAAACTAATAAGTGTAAAATATTCACTATTCTTTCATACAACAAACTTCTCACCGAGTAACACTTAATTTTAATGAATGTAAAATCACTATTTTTTCATACACGGCTAAACAAACTTCTCACCGAGTAACACTTAATTTCAATGAATGTAAAATCTTCACTATTCTTTCATACACGGCTAAACAAACTTCTCACCGAGTAACACTTAATTTCAATGAATGTAAAATATTCACTATTTTTTCATACATGGCTAAACAAACTTCTCACCGAGTAACACTTAATTTCAATGAATGTAAAATCTTCACTATTTTTTCATACACGGCTAAACAAACTTCTCACTGAGTAACACTTAATTTCAATGAATGTAAAATCTTCACTATTCTTTCATACACGGCTAAACAAACTTCTCACCGAGTAACACTTAATTTAATGAATGTAAAATCTTCACTATTTTTTCATACACGGCTAAACAAACTTCTCACTGAGTAACACTTAATTTCAATGATTGTAAAATCTTCACTTTTCTTTCATACACGGCTAAACAAACTTCCGAGTAACACTTAATTTCACTTTAAATCAAACAACGTATAGTGAATCGTATATTAATTTTTCTATTTTTAAAATTGAGGTTTCTCTTTTTCCTACTTTATTTTTCTCCATTCATTTCAACTTAATACGTAATAAAATTTATCTGTATTATCAAGAATATATTAATTTACATTGAACTCCAGAAACATTAACTTAAGATCATTATATGAATCAATTAGTTGCAAATGAAAAAGACAATTAAATAGTTTCATTTAAAATTAATGAAAGACTAGTTTTATAAATCTGTCTTTTTACGAACATTTTTAGAATTGTGATTTTAAATCAATAACGATGCTTAAAATAAGCTAAAAATAAGAATTTATGGAACGAATAAGTATCCTTGCTTAGATTTTGAGAAAAATTATCATTGTTTGTTTGTTTGAAGTTATGCACAAAACTGTGCTCTGCCCACCACGGGTATCGAAACCCGGTTTCTAGCATTGTAACTCCGTAGACATTCCGCTCTGCTAATGGGGGCCCGCATTTTGTTTTTTAAATATATAATGTATATTTTAACATATCTATGTGATGTACATTGTCTTATTTTGACGTTTGCAGGCCTGCTGGATTTCTATTACATAATACAGAGTGATCCATTGATAGATACTCCACTAATTTCTAAAGAGAGAGATATTAGTTGAGAAAAACAAATAGTTTTAGTAATGCAAAACAAACTGGTAATGTTGAACAACGTCCACTAGGAGAGTAGTTAACAGTGTAAGGAAATTAGTGGAAGATGTGCATAGGCTTGAATTAAAATGGTTTCTCTATTCTTTAGTGGAGTATCTATAAATAGATCATAACAGATTTAATAAGTGTAAGGAGATTAGTGGAAGATGTGCATAGGCTTGAATTAAAATGGTTTCTCTATTCTTTCAGTGGAGTATCTATAAATAGATCATAACAGATTTAATAAGTGTAAGGAGATTAGTGGAAGATGTGCACAGGCTTGAATTAAAATGGTTTCTCTATTCTTTCAGTGGAGTATCTATAAATATATAATAACAGATTTAATAAGTGTAAGGAGATTAGTGGAAGATGTGCACAGGCTTGAATTAAAATGGTTTCTCTGTTCTTTCAGTGGAGTATCTATAAATAGATCATAACAGATTTAATAAGTGTAAGGACATTAGGGGAAGATGTGCACAGGCTTGAATCAAAATGGTTTCTCTATTCTTTCAGTGGAGTATCTATAAATATATCACCCCATCTACAGCCTACTGGTTAAAGTAATTGACTTTGTTGTTCTGAGAGTTAAGAAAATTTATAACAAACCTCTTTGTGTTGACAAAGATAGCTTGTTCTTCTCGAGTTTACAACTTTTCTAACATCAAGATTCTGAATAATAAAATTTAACATTCTGTAATGTATAAAATATACAATATGATAAACCCTAACTCTACATAAGTAAACCTTATTCGCTTCTATTTCAGATTGCTACAGGTAAAAAATTCAATGTAAAACTTGAAAAGAAACCTAAATTAATCAACCAGTTAATATGACAGTTTGACAAGGGTAAAAAAATATTTCAGGTAAGCATATGAAGTGCTTAGTTTTGTGATTTTTAATACTGAAGATATAAATCTTAAGATGTTTATCAAGATAACCATTTTCTTGTATTTGTTTGTTTTGTTTTGAATTTCACGTAAAGCTACACGAGTGCTATCTGCACTAGCCG